TCTTTATTGTCTACATTTGCAGAAAATAGCCTCTAGCTTACAAATGCACGGCAGAAAACACATATCAAGGGAAAGGTTCCCATCATTCAAGAGCAGTGGCTGAGCTGAGGAAGCAAAATTGTTTCTTTTCATTTCCAACCAGTCAAGTCGCTGTGCAATAATATTCAGTGGTAAGCAAGACACTGAAATAGAATGGTGTTATCCAGCAAGAAACCACTGTTCACTCGAGAGATTGATTTTTAATGTGCTAGACTGAAAGACCGTTGAAAAGAGCGTCACAATGAGAATCACTTTAAGCCACAAAACTATCTTACAGAAGATCAGGCTTAAAGACATGAAAATGTCAGGTGAATGCATCAGGCGAGATATTTTCATGATTGTTTGCACCCCTCTCAGGCTTTTTTGGCTATTTACATACTCATGCTGGATGCCCTTCCCTTCCCTTCCCCAAGCCAAGCACACCTCATTGCGTGCTGGTTCAAAATAAGAAAAGCAGGTTAATAGCATCAGTCCCAGCTCATTTGCTACACTGACAGTCTTTTTACACAGCAATGTTGCTGCTCCCCTGTATATCTATTTCATCACCGCTCCTTTATTCTGCAGTGTTTAATCTAAGACATCAAACGGTACAACCTTACAAAGAAGTCATAAAACCCCAAATTTCATTTAAAAATGAATGTCGCTTCCAATTACCTAGCAAGGGAGCTCATTATGATTTTAGCGGTGCTCATTATAATCAAATGGAATCTGACCTTTCGTCCCATTGCACTGCTGTGAGAGGGCCTGTAGGCTGTTGATAGAGGGGGGAGTGACAAGGGTTTTGATGGTGGACTGGAATTATCTGTGGGAGGTTGATGATAATATTACATAAGAGTCATGTATACTTATTCCAGATAAGAAAAAGAATAGTATGCAGATGGAAAGGTCAGGTCTGAACCACAGATTTCTGCAGGAATGATGACAATGTAATGTAACAATGTGTGGCCCTTTTCAGATTCAGATCTGTTTCCATTGACTGTTCTCCACCTTCTCTGGGGACAAGTTCCTGGAACTAAAGTTTTGCACTGCTCAGGGGGTGATGAAAGTTCCAGGTACTGTCAGGGGTTATCGTCACTGTTGCAAATTGTGATTGATTAGATGTGCCATCACATCACAAGAATGACTATAACAAACACAATTTAATAAACAGCATTTTACCACTGTCTCTGTATCGACTAGGACAACCAATACTTCAACAGAGAATGCTTGCTGAACAATCAAAGATGCCCAGGATCTTATCCGTCTTATTCCTTTTCTCATTGTTCAGCAAAAACGGGGATACAACACACAGCCACACAGTGCAGGGAAATATTTAAGAGAGATAAGAGAAAAATAAAGAATATGTTATATATAAACTATAAATCAAATGTATAAAATAAAATTGATAACAATATAACAATAACATTGTTATGTGTCACACAACTGCTTACAGTACTCGCCTCCCACAGTTTGCATTTCCAATTAAATATATCCAGAATTTCCAGATTTGCAAAACACAGTGGAAATGCAATGACAAACCCTGAAGCCTCTGGTTAGGGGTTGTTAGGTACCTAAAGAAATTACTGAGAATTACAATATGTAGTATACTCTACTGTATTTAATGGCTCACTTTTAAAAATTGCCTTTTTTCTCTTAGTTGGTGGCAATGTTTTTGTTTCAATTGGTTTCAACTGCATACTTCTCATTGGCCTAGATGGGTATATGATGGGGATAAATGGCTGAACAACTGAACCCTAGAATGCTTGTTATCATGATTAATTGTAAAAAATTAGACCAACTTGAGTGTTTTGCACACACAAGTAATGAATATTAGGGGTAAACCCCATTGGTCTGTATTTTCAGCAACACGGATGCCACTGAATGATCATAGAAATATTATAGAAATGTTGTAGTAATACTAGAGGCAGCAGTGAGTCTCTATGATCCTCTTGCTGTTCCGTGATGTTGCTGCTTGTCACTTAGATCACAAAGGTGACACTACTCTAGAGTATACATAAAATAGTATAGAATTCTGTATTTTTATAGTATATAGTTTAGAGAATATTGTAGATCCAAGAAATTGACTGAGGGATGTGCCTGAGAGAAAAAGGCACAATTACAAATCCATCTGCAACTTCAGCACCATGGACAGCGCCATGGATTTATCAATACACAGTAGACAGCACAGTTAGGCTACTGAGGTTTCAAAGCCACGGTTGCAGCCATAGATTCTAACTCGCACAAACCTCAGTCAGTTAAAGGATCAATGAGCCGAACAGATTTAACTAAACAACCCCTCAACCACAGTGCACTCTCTGGGGATAAAGAGGGGTGATGGCAGGTTAACAAGGGGGATGGTATCCCCCCCTCACATCACCCACTGATTACAACTGGCGGGGGAAGCATAGTCAATATGAAATCAGTGGATCTATAAAAGTTAGTGTCATACATTTTGACAGGGTCATCATTAATTGTTGACATGAACATTCAACGTGGTTAGGACAAATGAGTGATTCAACCCAGGTCATTAAGCTTCCGCATTTGCTTGTCTAAACACCGTACACAGTTTTTTTCGGAGGAAAAAATCTCCTCCCTTACAGGACGTGATGTGTTTCATGTGTACTGCGGCAGTAGCAGCAGACAAAAGTAGAAGGTAGATCAAAAGAACTGGGTAGTTAGCATGATCAGTACAGCCACCGTGGCTGCACAAAAGAAAACACCACGTACAAAAACTCAAAACTTCTTCAATCGAAAGCAGAAAATAAATAAATAAATCCAAAACTCTGAGGGAAGCAATTCTGCCTAAAAGGAAAGCAACCAAGCCAAAAGCAGACACTGGTATTGCTCTCCAAAGATAAAAACCCCTCCAAGTTCAGAAAGAACAATGAAAACTTTCATTACACTTTGTTACCTCGAGGCAAAACTGTAACTTACAGTAAAAGTCAATTTTGTGTCAAACTATTTATTTGCATCTCTGCATCCTAAAATCTACATACAAGTATATCAATATAGTATTGCACCACTATGTAACCTCCTACTATTTTATTGCATTATTTTCAAGTTCCATTTTCTCTACAAAATTTAAAGTAAATTACCAGAGTGGAATTCTGCCAAAATAAAAGCAATCACTTCCTTTTCTTTCACAAAGACTGACTTTAATATCGGTCCATCCATTTTTTGTACTGCTTAGGGGTTGAGAGGGCTAGAGTCTATCCCAGCATGCATTAGGCAAGAGACAGACTCGTGGACAGGTTGCCAGTCTATTAAAAGGCTAAAAAAAGAGACGCATTCACATCTACAGGCAGGCTGGATGTGGGAGACAACCCACACAGACACAGGTGGGAGAGTATATTTCTTTCTAAAAAAATCATAAATGTCCCTTCTACTGCCATTGCCAATCATCAATCATCTTTTGCCACATGTTTTGAAATGCTGAATGTCTCCAAAGTAGATGGAGAGATTAGGACTATTCCCCCAGGATGACATTTTGAGGCTGGCGAGAAAATGATTTATGACTTTGCTCGGCCTTCACTGGAGTCTGTCTTTGTGTCTTTAAAGGGACTATAAAGTGTAATCAGGTAGCAGTTAACAGTAAACACTATGTCTGACCCTCACACCCACAGTGAAGGATGGCAGCTGCACTGAAACGTAACAACTCCTCTATCCATCCAAAACCTCTTCACTTCTCTGTTTTGTTTCAGTCTGCGTCATCCTGCATTTGTTTCTATCCTTGCAGACGTGAGCCACCGCAGAAAATGTGAGCCGAGCCAAATGAGTCACAGAGAGGAGGAGCTGTTGTCGTGTGAAATCCTCCGAAGCACACGAACACTTTAAAAAACGTGAGCTCTACTTTTAAATGAACATTTTATAACGGAGCAGATCCTTATTATAGGATCTTTTTAAATGGGCCCTGGTGCTATTATTATTTCTCTGATGATTCACTATGTTCAAAGCTTGATATAGAAAACTCTAACACAACAGCATAATACATTAAATAGTTTAAACATACTACAAGGAGTTTTAAAATGGTTATGAATGTGACCCACATAAACCAACAAGACCATCAGCAAGAAGATTGGTTATTTCTATATGGTCATTCTTTATGGCTGCCACCGGCTCAGATTCAGTTGGATTCCCCTTGAAATCAATGAAAACACTACCACTTTTGTCCACAGGGGCTGCAAGAATCAACACATAAGTTCCTTGTAGAGGCTATAACTAATGCTATTAAAAAAAAAAAAAAATTAAGTCAATATTAGCTCTGTGTTGCTGTTTATTGATCACAAGAAGCATTTGGACATCAGTCGTAATACAAACTAGAATTAATTATAATCAGATAAACTAAAAAAAAACAAACAGAAGTGTGTAATTAAGTTTTACATTTTGGGCTCTCCCTATCCACAGTTGTGTGTGCGAACCTTGGCAGTGACAGTGTCAGTGGCAAGCAATCTGTCACCCACTTTAGGTTCAGGCTTAAATATTTCAACAGCCTTAAGAAAAAGTGCTGAATTGGCTCTGTGTGAATTCCACTACTTAGCAATTAAAGCAGCCCAGAAGTCACAGAGACAGCGACGCAACACTTTGGCAAAAGGTGCAGGGATCAGCTTTAAAAAGCTTAATTTTTAAACAACAACAACAACCTGAAGCCACATTTTGTTTGCCAACTCACAGCGGAAGAAACGCAATGTGTAGAAAACAATCACCAGACACTGTGCACAAAGGCATGTTCAGTGATAATCCAATGAGGATAGTCTTTTGTGGAAACACTTTTTTTTAAAATGCATTAAATATAAATGTATATTGAGGCTTTCAGTGTACAGTTACTGACATTCCTTTTTGCTGTCGCAAGCACTGCAGCAGTTCAAGCTCTCTGTACAGCTTTCAGTAAATGCCACTGTTTCAAACTTTCAACAAAAGTGAGCAGCCATGATTCTGCAATCAAAGAATTTGCAGCATTGAAGAAAAGTAGAAATTTTCTTTACCTGTGACGGACAGCTCAGTAGTCCTCCGTACCACAAAGTTCCCAAACTGTAATTCGCAGGTGTAATTCCCAATGTCATCTTCACGTACTTCCTTGATTGACAGAATATCCCTCCTCCTTTCTATGGTTTGTCTCCATTGCTTTGGCTTGCATTCCTTTATTTAAAATACAGAAAGAGACCATGGGGACACAGCATGTTAGACTAAAGTAAATACACTGTGTCACTGTTGGTGTTCAAGTGTAACTAATGTTTAAAATCAGCAGGAAACAGGCTTTTACTTCTAGGCCCCTAATCATTACAAACAGAGAAGAGACTTTTTGTTTTGTCATATTTTTAAGCATATTGGATGAAAACAGGTTAAATCCACTGAGGGCTCTTTTGGAACTGTCATAAACAACTTCGCCAGTTTTCCACACTGTTATAGTAGAGAGACCTCATATCAACACAAACCTTCTCTAACTATGCCAGAATTAGTTTGGTGCTGGCCAGAATCTGAAACTGTTTCAAACAGTGATTTATCAGATTGAATGGTTGTGCAATAATCATTCTGGATTAGGTTGGAACGGCTATTTGTAATTCCATTTTTGAGTTTATGTGTTAAATCGTTAGTGGCCTAACTGCTTGCTAGTTTCACAGTAGTGATTTGCTAAATTAGGTAGCATGACAACATCCCGCATAAGACTCATTTCAAATGAAAGGAGTAGGAGAGCAGGCATCTTGAATTGTCAACAGCTGTGATACGGTCGCTTATAAGTTGATCCTATCAAATACTGTGTGGTGTGTGGTGGACCATTATTTTCTAATCTTATAAGGCATGTCTGGATTCAAGTGTGTGTAAAAGTTGTCTTTATGTGTGTGATGAGTGCAATTTCATCAATTAAGCACTACGTTAGTTCAAGCAGAACTCTCAAGTCAAGCTTGCATCAGCTGACTGTTGTTTCCTTCTTGTTTCAGCATCTGTGGCTCAGTGATACACCAGCAGATCAGTTATCAGCTGGCTAGTAACAGTAAATTACACTCAAACAGGTGTAATCTAAAGTCACTTTTACTCTGCTGATATCCTCAGAGCAACATGTCAACCACTTCTTAACTGTTAAGGCTTTTAGTGTGTTCATATAGTCTGTTTATAGCTATGTTTGAATTATGTACATTTCATGTGTCCAAAAAAATATTTTCTTTATTTTTCTACTGCAGTAAATCATTTTCAAGTAATAAAATCTAGTTTTCTGACATGCACCCTCCCAAAATGGCAGCTGTGTAACAGTAGCCAATCAGAATGCACACAGATAACTTGCTGCTTCCTTGACCTGGCCTAGACAACTGGACTTGACTGACAACCTTTTCATCCAACAGAGCTCATATTAGGCTTTGCAACGATGGCATGTCTGATCGGCTGGTTTGTACACTGCCCTGGAACTTTCATTCATAAACAGAGCACCTTTAGAATACAAACAGGAGTTATTAGTGATTTCAAGAGTGTATTTTTCTTATATTCTTATATTCAGTGTAAACCATTAACCATATTTCTGCGATGTTAGCATGAAAACTTATTAAGTATTAAATATAGATATTTAAATTCATGTGGAAATAGGCTGCTATTTTTCTTATTGGAAACTTTGACATCTTTGGATAAAAAGACTGATGGCACTGTAGGTGATAACTTGGGAGGTATACGTTTTAGATATATTTTAGTGTTTAGTGTTAAATACTTGGAAGACAACTGCCGATAAGTTGTATAAACTTCAAGTGAAGACTGTCAAAAGTTACAAAAAGATTAAAACATTGCACAGTTTAATTTAAACGTTAGCCTACACTTCCACCAGTACTCAGGGGACACCACACAATACACAGCAATCTCAGGTTTAACATGGGTTGAAGACTCTTATTCTATATTTCTACAGCATACTGTCATGCAGGTGGTAAAGTGAGTATGGACGTCCAGAAACAGCCGAGGCTTTTCAGATTTTGGGCCACAGAACACCTGAGGCAAAGGAAAATGGGACACTGTGGGTTTGGTTTTCGAACTGTGGTCCAAGAAAGACCTCCCAGAATTCAATCAGCCCCCACTGACAAAGCGAGAGCCAATAACTGGAGGGTGTGGAGCCCACAGTCATTATCTGCTATTTTAATTTGATTCAGTGGGAAACCAAAGAAGCATTGTGGCCACTTAATCCAGCACACATTCACGTTTGATGAATTGGCCCCCGAGCTTCATCTAACAGCTTTGTCAAAGTGGCCTGTCGGACACGGGAGGTCTTACTGGGTCAGTTACACTGTGGGCGTCGCAACTCTGCTTGAGGAGGAAGAAAAAGTTTAAAACAGAAAGATGTGTACATATAAAGCGAATAGGTTTATTTTTGTCGGTTAATTATTTATTTTTAGTTTCACAAGTCAGAGAGAAGATGATATTTAAAGCTAATTAGATCTGAATATAGCTGACCTTAACTAGGTTATTCAAATAAATGAAAGGACTTCCTGTGATGACACTTTTTAATTTTAATTGAAAGGTCCTATTTCTAATAATGTGCATGATGGGTTTCTTTCTTTAGACTACATCTTGCACCTCTCCATTAAAAAGAAAAAGGGGAAAAAAATTAAATCAGTGTGCAAACAGCAAATAAAAATAGCGTATCTTACCTTGTACCACACAATCTCAGGCTCAACTCCCGGCTGTATATAATCCTCAATGCCTGGGCAGGTGATTTCTTTGCTTTTGCTTAGTTCTGCCTTCTCAAAGAACCTCATTTTGGAGTTGTAGCAGAGGTCTGTGTCATTCTCCGCCACTGTGAGAGACATGGACACCTTCATGCAGTATGTGGAGTTCCTGCAAAAATACAAAGTTAATGAATCAGTCAAAGAAATAAATGAGTTTGTATCATATTGAAGTCTTGCCAGATGGAGCAAAGAAAAGCTGCCAGCAGTCCATCTCTGGATTCACATAAATTCAGTCAAAATCTCCACAAGGCTCATTCATTAGATTCCATGTGAATCACTAAATGCAGCAGAGGGACATAAGTCGAAAGAAACCTTCCTGAGGAAAGCAATTAATCATTTTCACAACTTGTAAATTCTTTTAGGAGAAAACTTTCCTTTAATGCTGAATGTTGAATCATCATCTCCATCATCATGACTCTTAATCTGGTTCATACAATGTTTTTTCATCCATTCAGATATGAATACCAGTAATTCCCGATGAGCCCACCTCTCTAAACTATTAATGGACAACTAAAAGTGTGAGTGTTTGTATATATATATATATATACGGTATACATGTGTATATGGGGCAGGGACATGGGCGGTAATATGGAGCGACAGCTCCGAATGTCAACAGCACTTGAAGATTGATTGAGCCTTTTGTTTTCACGTGTTAAGCAGATACAGTTCGAGCTAGCAGAAAATTACTTGCTACAATTGATGTGCTCTAACTGCTCAGGTCATACACATAAAGAAGAGAATTTATAATGCAATGGAGAAGGGGCGTAAAATGCAAGATAACTTGTAATGTTTGGAGACTACATGCTTGCCTGGGCTCACAGATACTGGTGAATATTCATCCACGGTGGAATAAACATTTCATTTTACTGCTTGGTATCGCAGTATACCTTCAGTGAATTTGTGCTGCCACGGACGCTTGTCTCGTAAATACTAGACCAATGTGGGTTGAACGTTTTCATGTGTATATGCAGAACCTTCAGATCTACTCCTGCCCAGGAGAGCAATGCTCCACAGACACTGAAAGGGAGGAAAATATACAGCTGCTAAACATTTACAGCTAGCCTGTTTGGGTCATTAATGGAACAGCGATTTTGAGTATGGATCTGCTGCTTGAGTAATTCTTAACAGAACATGGGAATCAATGTGTTTATTGATTCACTGGGAATGTTGTGCTATTTGAAGGAGGGGAAAAAAAGCAAAGGTCCTTGATGATCAATGAATTGAATAGGAGCACCTTTCTTTGCCCAAACTGGCTAATAAGACTGTCACAATTGACAAGTACTCTGGCTTGACTGCAGCAAATCCCTCCTGGTTAAAAGACCAAACAAATTGGCAGTGTTTAGGAAAATCTCATTGCTAATTTTCCAACTAAAGCTGGTTACACAAATTGAGCTGAACCAACAAACAATTACAAACATGTTAAATCCTTACATAATTGCGCAGCATTAACTGCCTCGTGGATTAGCACAACACACACTGGTCTTCACTACAGTGACGGCAAACAATCCCTCGCCCTTCGAACTGGCCAGCACCGCACACTCCGCTTACAGTAAATGTGCCATTTTCATGAAGCCCGGATGCAAATGTGACATGATGTGGAGATTATCCCAGACAACTTCTACCAGATGGACACCTGTGCAAATGAGATCCCACGGGTGCGCTCTCTTCCCTGTTAAATATTCTGGGCAGCACTGATAAACTCGGCCGCTGGAAGAGAGAGAGAGAGAGAATTGTGTCATCTGCTCCGCATGAGTGATCGATGGTGTGGGCCAACACATTGTCCTACGATGTCTTTCCAACATTTCACATCCATCACGGTGCCTTTTGAGTCTGAAGAGCCAGGTGATCTTTTGACTATTCACTCAGCAGGTGTAATATTCATGAAGCCTATCCAAAGAACTAAGCAGGAAAATGATCCGACGCTCCAGAGAGTGGGACTTATTCTACGTGCCGAGCATTCAACACTCGTGGAACCCTCTCCGTACTGCACAAACAGTGATAACAAGCTAGGTGATACCATGGCATTAATGGGCGAGAGTGTCTGTCAAAGGTGTCAAACTGAAGGGGATATGCAATGTCGTGGCAATGATAGATAGCATCCTGCATACATCAACTGAGAGAAGAGCCAGGCTGACAGCTACTGTATACAGCTGGAGGGCAGGCAGAGGACTTGAGCTGCAATACGCAGCAAATGCAGTGAAATTATGTGCAATGGTCAGTTAGGAGTTAAGCGGTCTGCTGAAAGGATTATGACTGGCATACTGTGGAAAAACACAGCATTTCTACTTACTGCAACACGCTCATGGGATTCAGCATTGCTTAAAATTGGTGGTTAATTTATAGATTTAGGTTTGCCGCCATTGCTACTTTCAGAGCTGGATCTCTCCTAACCAAAACCATCCACCATCTAATATGTGTTTTTTTTAAATGTTTTATTTTATTGACTGCCAATGAATCTACCCCACCAGCAGATGAAACCAGATGGAACTTGCCCTTTAACTCGGCAACTGTTCTCTCTGATATTAAATAATAGGAAGCAGAATTGATTTGAAATTCTCCGGAGAATCCATGGCACCTGGGGGGAAATTAATGAACTAACTTAATGAATCTCTTAATTAAAATAACTCCTCTCTAATAGAAATTGGATGATGAAATAATTGCTGATTACTCATTACAGCATACTTTCAACTAACAATAACGTTCTCTGAGAATTGTCGCCGCGTGAAGCACGTATCACAAGGCTAGAAGTTCAGAGGTTGATTGAAGGTTACCTCGGCATAATATCATTACTGGGCAGAGAAGTAAACCCAACACAGATATTAACCCTTTACAGATTTAATATAGAATGATGATCTATGCTTAACATAATTAGCATTTCAAAATGGATGAGGTTCCTCTTATTACATATGTCATGTAACACAAGTTATTTGGTAAGTATTCTAAATGGCTTTGGTTCTCATTGTCTCCTACCAAAACTTACAATAACTTTTGAATGTCATGTGTACAAGAGACATGCAATAGCTGGAAATATACTGTAAAATTAAACCTATATATGTGCCTATTTTCAGAAGAGTGTCATTGTTAATAAGGAAACATCCTAACTTTCTCATCGGCATCCAGAAGAAGGTTAAATGGTGTCTCCATCCAACTAGGCACATCCTCAATCACTGAAGCTCTTATAAAACGTCATTGAAATAATCTTACTGTGATCAGGGCATCAGGCTGAGATGTTGCTAACATCTGCCAAATCATTACCGTGTCCCTCAGCAGCACACTGAATGTGTATACATTTGTATGTGTGCCTACAGTATACAGCATTGTAGCTAAGCAAATTCTAAATGTTTCAAAGGCTTAAATTGAGCATCAACTAAAATAAAAAAAGCCCAACTGACTTCAACTCCCAACGCACTTGCAGAGGGACTAACCTTTGTGATCATTACCAAACAGAACAAATCTGCATCATGCCCTACATGGAAGCATCTGAATTTGTTTCTCAGATCATTTATTCGTGTTTTTCCTTTAATTTGTCACCCAATGACCACATACATACGTCCATCCTGTAAATTGTTTCCATTCTTTTGCATCAGGTGTCACTTTGTACCAGTCTATAGCAAAAGCCAAAGGGAGGTACTAAAGGGAATCACAACAACAGGGGCAAGTATTCGAGTGACATCACTTGTACTATCTATCTTGTTGCCACTTGCGTCAGCATGTACCTGAGATCGGATTTGAATGTCAACCAAGCCTACGTCAGGATGTAGAGGGCAGATGTAAAACCGGTCAAGCTCTTTCCTGACAGAGCACATACGCAGCAGTTAATGCAGCCTGGCATGATTGGATGCGCCACATCCCTTTAGAGACAGATATAACAATGGCTCTAGACAGGCAGAAAAAAGTCTGGTTAACATCAAATAGTGGCTGAGAGCAGGACAAACTCCAAAAATTGGAGGTCAGAAAAGTTCTCTTGATACTGATCTAGAGACTGACATTAGTCTTTGGACACAGGTGGAAACTTACAGCATATGAGCATTACATCAGTCCCCGTAGTCTTGTACTACCTTCGCTGTCCACCAAGCCACCATGAACCTAGACTGAGATAGGGCCGGCCCAGTTATCCTAAATCAGTATTTTACGGTGCCTGCATTATTTATGGCCAGAGCGAAGGTCATAGTGAGCAGTGGGAAGACTGGGCCTCCTACCTGTAGCGCCCGCTCATAACTCACCTGTCAACTCTTGCACCAAGCCCGGGATGATTAAGCACCCCGGCTCTCCAAATCTGACTGTGGGCCAACTTGCTCCTACTTAGCCTCTGTCTAAGAGTGTGGCACTTGTCTGCCATGCTGGAACAATCGACTCCTGCCTCAATTATAATCCATCCACCTCTTCTCTCTCTCTCTCTCTCCCCCTCTCTCTGTTTGTGGTTTGTTTTTGTCCCCTGCCTCCGCCCGCCCTTTTCTCGTCTTGTAGTACACAATTTCTCAGGGAGGAACACACACCTCTGCGGATAATTTAGTTTTGCCACGCTGTGAGAAACAAATGCCTGCACCTGTCTACACACATACATACGACCACTCACCTACAAACACTACATAAAGATAGACAAGCAGTATCTCTGCAGTGTACCATATGTAATCCTGACAAGATCAACTACAAAGATAGAATAGCCCCCACAGAACTTCATATGCAATTGATAATAAAACTCGGTTCATATTGTACAGAGTTAGCAGGGACAGCAGGGTCATTTCATTTCCTTTCTTTTTTTAAGAAAAGATTAAGAAATTGAGTCACAACTTTAAAAATATTCTTTTAATGTGCAGCAAACAGAAAATATTTTCTTCCAGATGGTTCAAAGAGCGAGGATTCTGAAAATACCTTCAAAACAGAAGTAAGTGTTTTTTAACAATGTGGGTTTTTCAAAGGTCTGCGGGTTAATTTTTCAGGAAAACAGATGCTGAGCTTTGTGATTTGAATGTAATGGTAATACACAAGAGGCATAAATCAGGACTAACGCTAATGTAGACTTTAAAGGCACAAGCTAAATTGTTATTTTTTATTTTAATTGCAATGGTTGGGAACCAATAAAGACCCCCTACAATCCCTTGCAGGACC